AAATGACGTCTGGGCCAGACAAAATATTGTACAGGGTGTCTGATTAACGCCGGCCACCGGCTGTATATAGGAACCTATTGGACCTACAGGTCATGAAAATCTCCGCGATAGCGCAACTGATGAAGAAATTTTAAAAATTGACTTTCAATGAAAAAATGCTTTATTAAACTAAAACTTTCCCTAATGACATTTTTTATTTCCTCGGTAAATAAAGAGGTAGGGAAAGTTTTTCTTATTAATTTTAAAAAATACTGTATTTTCGGATCGCTTTTATGGATATTCTTGCAATTAGGTTTGTTTAAATTACAATACTTTGCAGATTTAGTAAATGTTTTAGTGATGGCAAAAAGTTGGTTAATAAAGGTACAAAATGGTGATATGTTGATACCTATTTCTTCATTTTTCTTGGAAATTTTAAATGGAACGATATAACGAGCGTTCAAATAAAAACGTGGTCGAAGTTGGCTCTGACACATTGGAGGTGGACGCAATTATTTTAGTTGAGAAGAGCATGTCCGAAAACACAATTGCCCAAAATTAAAATCGAAATATGTCTAATGTCTTGTCATCGTGGAACATCTTGTATATATGTATTAAAAGTACAATTATTCAAATTTGAAATGTTAACAAAACGAATTTATTAAATTCTACTTGTTCTTCCTGAAAACTAACGAGCGTTCAAATAAAAACGTGGTCGAAGTTGGCTCTGACACATTGGACGTAGGGAGTAGCTTATAGCGACCAACTTAACCTCATTTCTCAACGAGCTGTATAGCAGCTGTCAGTTTCAATAACGTTAATGACTATATAACTTTATTTTAAAGAATAATCGTGATAACAATAACAAACAATTAAAGGAGCTGCGGAAAGTGTTCCCCTCCTTGTTATAACAATAAATTAAAGCAGCTGCTGAAGTGTCCCCCTCCTTGTTCCAAGCACTTTTCACACCTGTTCCTCAAAGAATTAAAAACATTTTCTAAGATGCTCGGGGTATTGTTAATTTCACGAATCTTGTCTATAAGTCGAGCCTGCAGATGGTTTAAATCAGGAATAAGCTGTTCAAAAATAGTGTTTTTAAGGCCACAAAAAGAAATCACACGGCGTAATATCACATGACCTCGGTGGAAATGTATGTTCAGCATTGAGACTTATTAGTCGATTTTGGAAAACTTCCCTCTACATATTCATCGTCTCGCCTGCCGTATGTGCCCTTGCGCCATCTTGTTGAAAGTAAAAGTTTGTAATTTCGTTTTCTTCCAGCTGGTTAACAAAAGGAGCGATAATTTCTTCTCTATACCTTTGCGCAGTAAGAGTACCAATAAAAAAAATAGGTCCATAAATCCTCCTTCGATTGAGAGCACACCAAACTCCAATTTTTTGAGCGTGTAGAGGGCCCTCGACAAAAAAGTTATCTGGTTTTTCAGAAGACCACATTCTCATATTCTGTGAGTTTACGTAACCACTTAAATGAAACCAGGCTTCATCAGAAAAAAAGGTGATATTATGAAGTTCACCGTAGTTGTTTAAAAACCATTCACAAAATACAGCCCGTCGCGGAAAATCAACTTCATGAAGTTCTTGCTGACAAGTTAAACGATAGGAGAACAAACACAAATCTTTTTTTAACACTGTGTGGCAGGTACCGACTGATACTCCCACCATTTGTGATAAAACACGTACAGAAGTTCTTGGCACATTTTCCATTATTTGTTGGACATTTTCTTTTAATTCTTCAGTCCGCTTTTTAGGTCGGCCGCTTCCTCCTTTTCTTGTTACACTGCCCGTTTCACGAAAAACATTAACACAACGCTGAACTGCACTTTGAAAAAATTTGTACTCAACAACGCCGGGAAATTGATTTTGAAATTCTATGAAACACTCCTCAATAGAATACTTCCATATTCCATCAATCTTGCGTCCATTTCTAAAGTAGGACTCTATGATAAACACTTTTTGTTCTTGAGAAAACACCATTTTAAACGCTTTTTAAAACGAAAATATTCAAATTGATAGCGGCGATATAGCGCTTTGACAGATGACGTTTAAGTTCATTTGCTATACGCTACGCCCTACGTCCAAATTTTCAGAACCAACTTGATCACGTTTTTATTTGAACGCTCGTTATTTTACAAAAACCGGCCTCTCTTCACACTTTATCCGGGCTTAGGAAAAATTAAAATAAAAAAAAGTATTCCCCCGACGGACTCTCAACTTTTAACATATGCAAGTAATGAATCAATTTGGCTTACATCCATGCAGATCCACATCTAAGTGTTGGAGACATTTCAAGGGATTTAAGAGTAACACTTTATCATCTCCATAAAATATTAAAAAATCTAAAATGGTAACCCTTACCATATTGTGTTACATCAAACATTAAACGAACAAGATTTTGATCGTAGATTGGATTTTTGCCATTGGCTTCAAAATTTCCTCACGGAAGATGCTACGGTTTTGTAAAAAATTTTATGCGCAAACGAAGAAACTTTTACTAGCAAAATTCGCACAACGTACATTATTGGCCAGCAACTAACCCTCATTGGTTAAGAAAGGTGGATCACCAAAACAGGTGGAGTGTAAATGTCTGGCGCGGTATTTTAAATAGACAAATTATTGGGCCATTTTTTTTCGGTGGTCATCTTAACGGTGAAAGACACCTAGAGTTCCTGAACACTGATTTGCTGAGAGGATGAACTTGTGGTACCAACAAGACGGATGTCTAGCCTAGAACATCCGAAATTATCTTGACAATACGTTTCCAGATAAATGGATTTGCAGGGGAAGTCTTTTTTCATGGCCTCCAAGATCCCCAGACCTCACTTGTTTAGATTTTTATCTATGGGACAGAATAAAAAAAAAAGAAATATAAGAAATTTATTATCTGCCGAAATTGAAGCCGCGGTGCAATCTACGAGAGAAAGACTTAATTTGTGCATCGACAATGATGGTCAAAACTTTGAACATATTTAATTTTTGCTTTTTTGCCGTCATAGACTCTGGCGAATTTGTTGTAGTTATTGTTATTCCTTATTGCTTTTCGTTTAACTTGGTGTTTGGCCTAATTGGCTCCAATTATTGTTTCCAGTACTACTTTGGCCAGTTCTAAGCCTGGGTAAAGCGTGAAGGAAGACCGGATTTTGTAAAATAACATGAATTTACCAAAACAGCAACTAAATATACGTTTTGTTTCGAAATGATACGGTAAATGAAAATTTATTCTCCTTCCTTATTGTACCTAAGTACAATACGAACATCTAAATATTTCCTAAACGCTTTGAGATATCGATACCAGTTTTATTTTAACTAAATATTGGTTATAATGACTCAGAAAAGAGGATATCGTTCGATTAAAGAAAATAAAAAATCATCACAAAATACATTGAAACTTTTAAATGTAAATAACTCAGAAACCGATAAAGTTAGGCGACCTAAACAAAAGTAGATTTTTTATGAAGATTTGAACGTTCTTTTAGATTTTGAATTTTTTTTTTAAGTAAAGCTCAACAGATAAAAAAATGATTTTATTTACCTAAATAATACGGTGAAACTAATGTCCTCTAGGAGCAACGTTAAATAAGCTTCAAATTCGTAATTCTCACACCAAAAAACCCAACACTACCTACAGATTTTCAGAGTCAAACCTTTCTCAATTATTGAGAAATTTCAGAATAAAATTTAAACCTTAATTATCCTGTAGTTCCTTTATTTCTGTATTCCTTTAGCTGAACAAATGATAAAGTTAGGAAGATCGAAAGCAAGAGTCAAACGACGTCTTAGTGGACGAACTGGAAGATTTACGAAAAAACAAAGAATGTTGATAAATGTTGGAGATCATCTTCCCTCCCAAACTCCAAACAGAAGAAGATGCTATCGTTGTTTAGAACAAAAAAAGGAGAGTCGTACTAAAACTATATGTGTTGCTTGTAACTTGTAAACATGTTTTTTACTTTTTCACTCCTAAAGTTTGTTATTTTCTCTTTATTTTGTTTCGAATCCTAACAATTGAATAAAAGTTTGATAATTTATAGTAATCTATTGTTCCACTGATGGGTCATTATTGTCCCATTAAAAATTACTGCTGGGACAAAAATGACACATATCTTTAGAAAGGATTCAGGGCAATTTTTAAGTCAAATACATAATAAAGTGAGTCTAAACTGATGAGTCTATGGCAAATTATAATATGTACTTTGCAGCAAAGAATTCAGTAGCGAAAGGGTTAAACGATCTACATTCGTATAAGGTATGATAAACTCAAACATAGTATTTTGGTGTCTAGTATCTCCAGCTTAGTGTTGACCCATTCTTTCTGACCCATATGTGTTTGTTATTTCTTCGAAAATATTACTCAACATTATCTTGAAAACAAGTGTATATTCACTTAACTGAAAATGAGCCAAATTGGACACAATTTTGAAGACTGTGGTTAAAGAATCAAATTTTTCTAATTGTAAGATTTATATTAGACAGATAAACGGTGCATAAGTACCTCGGACAGTTTTATAAGGCATCAGGCATCTTAATACATACTTTGTTTCTATTACGCATTTGTTAATACCATAGCCATGTAGTAAAAACAAACATGTCATATATCATTTTAAATATAAAACAAAGAAACAATGCATTTTTGAGCACACAAATATACGCAATCCTACCATCCTTGTTTTATCTCAAAAAAATTACTTCATGGCGACAGGGAAGTATTATGGGTAATAAAAGTAAAACCTATCCAGGAAAATGTCTTAACCGATGTTTCTATCTCTTTTCATTATATCTGTACCTTGATTTAGTATTAAGACTGGAAAATTTGAAAAAAGCATCGTTTGACAAGCCTTTGTTTTATTGCGAAATTTTTTGAATACTTTTTTTTACAATAGCTACGACTAATCTAGGGGCCTAATCTCCAAGGCAGAATTACATAAATAGATTGATATAGTAATCCTGATAGGATTAATTTAAAAATAATGCATATCGGACGATATTTTTTGCAACCTACAGAGGTATATATGAATCGGGAATCGGATACCTCTGTAGACCCGTAGAGCAGTTCGTCATGAAGGCTTGTGTGGTATTGGCAGTTCTGTTGTCCGTCGCTTTTTCTGAATCGGGTAAGAATTGAATTTGTCAAGTGATTTTTAATAAGTGCTCATAATTCAAGGTGTTCCGAAATTGGGCTACAATATTTTTTATGAACATGGTACAACAATAGCTTTGTTTGACAAAAAGATATAAAAACGATCAAACTGATTTTTAAAAATATTTCATGCTATAAAAAAGTAACAATTTATACAGTGAGTTTTTTGAGACATAATAAGTTGGAAAAATAGTTCATGTTTATGATCGTCCAATGAAAAACATAGTTTAGGTTTTAAATTGTTTAAATATTGTCTTTTTGCAATCTGTATTTTACTGATTCTTCTTTTATTCTTTTAAGTAACTCCTTTTTCTAGATTCTTGGAATACTAATTATGCATTATTTTTCTATGTTGCCCTACAATAGCGAAAATACTGTACTTTTTGCAATACTATGATTTCAAATTCAAAAAATATTCATATATTAAAATTCCAAATTATCAATATTCCTGTTTTTTATTACTTGTCATGCAACATAATATTTCAATAACAAATAATACAAAGACACCTTGTGACTTAATTTGGTATCAAGCAGTGGAAAAGTTCACATACAAAATAACTATTATCAAATTTTTCTAGTTAGGCAGATTAACAACATAACATTTGGAAAAATTATCTACAGCATCGTTTTTCCATCTACGATAGTGTAAACTTTTTCTCTTATTTTTTAAATATATTGCGGATTATTTTCAGGACACCCTGTACAAAATGTTGTTCCTGCATTTTTATTAAAAGTACTCCATTAGTAAATTACTTTATCTGCTCCCGCTATAGTAAATAAACTATTAATATATTGTTTTTAAGGAGGTAAGTGAGGTAACTTGCCTCCATAGGGGAAAATCGATTTCAAGTTCTAAATGAACAGAAAACAGAAATATTTGATGAACATTACATTTATTAATTATTATGAATGAATATTTATAGTAATTGTACAGTTATTACATTTAGTAACATTTATAAAATTTGGATAACTATTCTCCTCGCGTTTACTAATTGTCACATTTTTCTCAAAATGATTTGACCGCTCCATCTTGATTGCTAATACATCAACTCCTGTATTGGCCAGTAAGGTTGTCGATGTTCTTCAGAATGAATGTCCTGTAAATGTTTCAGGATGTTCTAGTTTCAAAAACTGTATAATCTTATTAGAAATCATAGAAAAGGTATTCTTGCCGACTGGTTGGTTGCAACATCTACCTGCTTGATAGCGCATAAAAAAGCGTGAAATTTCAGTTTTAATTTCCAATCTAATCTTGATACATTTCGTGAAAATTTCTAGGTGAAAAACAGAACCTAGACGAGAAGTAATTGTAAACGTACGTGGCATACTATTTTTAGAATCTGGAATTGTAACTACAATAATGTCATTGAAATTTTTGAAATTGACGTTGTCCAAAGTAGGTATGCATAAATCATCAGAACGGCATGCTCCTGCAATGCCTAAGACCGCCACTACCTTCATTAGAAAATATATGTTATCGGGTACCTGAACGAGAAATTTGTTGACTTGTTCTTTTGTAAAAACGTTCGACTTTTTACGTGGGAGCAGATAAAATGTTATACACAGCAGTTAAGTATAATTTACCAGTCTCAGACTCTATCGCCAGCCCTCGCTTCGCTCGGGCGCAAAATCGTCCTCGACTGGTAAACAATACTTACCTCCTTTATGGTGTAAATAACTAGATCCTAAGGTAGGTGAAACATCTTTCAACTGTCAAACTGTCATACTATCAAACTAATCAACTGTAAACTGTCAAAGGAAAATAAGGATTTCCAAGTATGCTAAGATGAAAATTTGTGTTTTAATGCATATGGTCGTAGGGTTTTTATTGAATTTATTTCTTCTTAGTAAACTAAATTGTGAATCAGTCAAGGATATTTTCTTGTCCATTGTTTATGATTGTCTCCCAACAATCCTTCAGTTTTTCTGATCTACGCCTCAAGAATTTCGATCGTTTAGAAGTGAAGATTTCACAAAGCCAATTTTGAAACGCGACGTCATTATTAAAGGGAGTTCGACTGAGTTGAGAAGATGGAAATCTGATCCAACCCCCCAATTGAGCACCTGAATGAAAACTTTTATGATTTTGTGGTATGTAAGTATTATTATGCAGCAAAATCACTCCATGATGTCTTCCGGGCCTTTATCTTTAATTGCGGTCTGAAAATGACAAAGTAGTTGGCAATAATCTTCAGAAATAATTATCGGAAGCAATCTGTAGTTGACAAGGCCTTTTTTATACGGATAGGTCCCAGTTTCGCTTGAATGCCACAAGGCATGAATGCTGACAAGCAGTTTTTGTTGTTTTTGCTTAAAATATCCATACAAATATTTTTTTTTAAGTTCTCAGTCCATCAAATTGGCCAATTCCCAGGATGATTAATGTGGATTATCATGATTTAAAGCTTACTCTCTTCATTAAAGTCATATGGTCTTTCTGAACGTGGAAAAGAGTTCATGTCAATATGGCCTTCTTTGAAATAAGGAAACCATTTATTCCATTCATTTCCAAAGAACTCTTGCCATGGAAACCAAAAACGCCATGAACTTATGTATCACCACCACCAATATTATCCAATTTCTACTTTACGAAACTAGCAATGACTTTTTTTCAGGCAATTCCGTTCCACAGGAAGACGATGGCATAGGCATGGAATATTTCCTAGTGGAAACTGAGCCTGGTGTTTATGAAGTGGAGGACCTTGTCCACGCCGAAATAGATGTCAGGGCGTCTCCGTCAGACCTCACCTACCACTTCCACAGCAGGAGCAACCCCAGCAGAGGCATCGACATCCGAACTACTAACATAGGGGCGCTCAGAAACACTCAGTTCAGCGTCGCGAAGGATACTCTGTTCATTGTACATGGTTGGAGGAATTCCCATGAATCTGCCGTCAACAACTACATCAGGGAATCCATTCTGGCCAGGCACGACATCAACGTCTTCGTGGTGGATTGGAGTCCGGTGGCTGGAAGGAACTACGTCTCCGCTCAAGGAGCCGTCACCACGGTTGGAAACCACGTAGCTGACTTCATACGCGCTTTGATTGCCACCTTTGGCTTAAGACTGGATAGAGTCGCTTTCGTTGGTCATTCGCTCGGTGCTCACGTCTCTGGCAACGCTGGTGCGTCGCTGAACGGTCAAGTGGACCACATAGTGGGTCTTGACCCAGCTCTTCCCTTGTTCTCCATTAACAACATAAACAATCGCTTGGATCCCTCCGACGCTAGATTTGTTCAAGTCATACACACCAATGGAGGTCTTCTTGGATTTAGGGATTCGATTGGAGATTCCGACTTCTTTCCAAATGGAGGTTCCTCTCAACCTGGTTGTGGCGTAGATCTAGCTGGGACATGTGCCCATTCTAGAGCTTACGCGTACTACGCTGAAGCCATAAGGGCGTCTCGTAACTTGTTCGTTTCCGCTCTGTGTGGCAATATGAACGATTTTAACGCTGGTAGGTGTAACTCTAACACGAGGTCTGCCATGGGAGGCTACACCATAGATAGGTAAGCGTATAGTATAGACCAATTAACCGCCACTTAAAACATATATGATATTCAGGGTGTTTCAGAAAGATCTCTCGTAAATACAGGGGGTGATAGTACGACAAAAAATAAAAATTTTTTTTCTTATGAACTATATGTCTATCTCCTCTTGTTTTCGAGATACAGAAATAGAATTTTTACGAAAGTTTCCAATCGGTGCGAAATATTTTTATGAAATTTGGTATTCCGTGGTTTTTAAAGATGCTAAATACGCTGGTCCAATTATTTTTTTGGATATTTAGAGGGCGCTAGTTATGCTACATTCCTATTATATTTTAAGTTCTAATGTTTTTAAGGTTAGGTTTTTACCATTCGGGCTCCAATTTCTAATTACAATTTTATTTTCTAAAAATGATGTACTCTAGTTAGAACTTCCTAATGTGGACGGTTTTCAAGAAAAAAGGCTTTTAATTTAACTTACAATATTACGCTGCATAAAATAAGTGACTTTTCTCAAAGTAGGCTTGTGTCAAAACTTATTGATGGATGTCTCATAAACAACGCATACATTCTTAGTAACATTTTACACTCTAATTAACTTTATATCAAAATTTTAGTGACTGTAATTAGTCATTACTAACTACAGTCACTAACAATCACTAAAATTTTGATATAAGGTTAATTAGAGTTTAAAATATTACTAAGAATGTATGCGTTGTTTATGAGACATCCATCAATAAGTTTTAACATAAGCCTACTTTGAGAAAGGTCAGTTATTTTATACACCGTAATATTGTAAGAGTTCAATTAAAAGCCTTTTTTCTCGAAAACCGTCCATATTAGGAAGTTGTAACAAGAGTACATCATTTTTAGAAAATAAAATTGTACATTAGAAATTGGAACCCGAATGGTAAAAAACCTAACCTTAAAAACATTAGAACTTAAAATATAATAGGAATGTAGCATAACTAACGCCGTCTATGAAATATATAAAAAATAAGTAGACCAGCGTATTTGGCATCCTTAAAAACTCCGGAATACCAAATTTCATAAAATAATTTCGCACCGTTTGGAAATTTTCGTAAAAATTCTATTTAAAAAATTTTATTTTGTCGCTCTATATCTCGAAAACAAGAGGATATAGACATATAGTTCATACGACAAAAACGGGAGGTCTTTCTGAAACACCCTGTATATGTTGCAAAAGTAACTTCCGGTATTTCTGTCATTATATTTTTTATATTTTTACAGGATTCGAGGTGATTTCTATCTTACTACAAATAGCCAGTCTCCGTTTGCCAGAGGTTAAGAAGAAATATAAAAAATGTAGTACACCTGTTTGATGTAAATAATGTTTATTTACTTTTGAATGTAGAATAAAATTCATGTTTGGTTTAAAACCTGTCTTATTTATACAGGGTGTGTCGTTTGCACTTAAGTGGAGTGGGGGGTCAGTTCTTCTTAGAAAAATAATGAGACATTAGATACACAGCGTTACAGCTGTTATAACACTTTGAATAAAGTTTTTCTTAATTATCTGTAAATGAGCCGAAGATAAAGATGGAAAATTTATTTTTCCTTCAGTAGTATTATTATAATTCATGAAGATGGAACTTTTTTGCTTCTAACTAAATTTAGATAATTTTTGGACCGTAACTATTTTATTTGAAGCTATTTTTAATAGTGTATTTAATTTGCAAATTGTTACATTGGGGAACTGTATGTCCAAGTTAGTAATTTGTGAGGTAACCTTTTTTCACTTAATATTTAGTTAATTAAAAACTAAGGTTAAACAAAAAATTGTTCAATAATAGTTCAATTTAAGTCAGATTAGAGAAAGTCAACTCAATATTGGTTAGCAGAAACTGAGTAAAATTTTTTTTGCGGTATAGTTTCATTCATAAAGTTTCAGTTGTGCTCATACTAAGAGGATAATTATTTGAGTGAAATCTCATTCACTTCTTTTACCCCAAAGAATCATTAAAAAAAGAAGTATGTGAAGCCTATAAAGGATGTCTTTCACATAACCAGATTTCTGGTTGTTTGACTTTATTTGATAGAATTTTTTTGAATTAGCTTAATACCTTAATAAAGAGTAAAAAAATGGTATACGAGTATTAGTTGAAAATTGATAGAATGTATATTTTTCGAGAAAAATTATATAAAGTTCACACTGTAAAAAAATCTGTGTGAGTGAAAGCAATAAAGGTTTTCGGAGTGAATCTATTGAGTGAAATTATTGAGTACCTACATTTTCACTCAATATTGTGCATTTTGATCATTTTACTCATTTGTTATTATATTTAAACTAAAACTGAGTACTTTCACTCAAATATACGTACTCCTTAAATAAATTCTTCACGTAAATTCGTATTTGGTGCTCTTGTACCTAAATCACAGTAAATGTTCTCATTGCTGAGTGATTCCACCATTTTTCATATCCAGATATTTTGTCTTTATCTGTTCCCATCGTCCCATTAGGTTATCTTGCGACTATGGCGTGGTGGATGGCAGTATAGCGTATGGTGTGCTTTGAATTGGACAAGTATCGGTTTATTTGGTTATTCTAGTGAAAGTTGTATTTAAACATCGAGAACTAAATTATTGCCCCTAAAACAAATCTGTGTAGAAACCACCATCATTGTTTAGTAGTTTATGACGATGATATTTAGGTAAATTAAAATTTCAAGAAAATGTTAAGTGGTGCAAAACCACTCCAAACGTTAATAATATGGCATTTATTAAGTAAATTGCACACATTAGTACATCCAATTTCAAATATGGCTTTTACTCAAAAATTATATAAATTTAATAAATTACAAAAAACTTATTACAAAATACCGATTTTCATCTCTTCCCTTGAAAAAAAAAACAATATGTAGATTTGAGACATTATTTTTACAATATCTCTCCTAATTTGAAAAGTAAAAAATAATAGTTAAATTTAAATCATATTAGAGAAAAAGCCAACTATAAATTGGTTTTATATGCTCAGAATAGAGTCAAAAGTCACTCAATTGATAGTTAGCAGTAACTCGGATTTGAGTAAAACTCACTCATTTTTGATGCAATAGTTTCACTCAGTTATACTCATACTAGTAGAGTGAAAACTTCACTTAATCGGGTGTGGACAGAAATTGATACATTTTTGAATAAAATTGAGTGAAATTTGAGTGAAATTTTTTTAAAGTGTATAATATATTATGAATAAAATAAAAATATTAACATGAAGTATATTACTATGAATTCTGTACAATTTGACAATATAGTTTTAATTGAACCAAAATATCAACCAACGAAAACAATTTAAAAATTGAATAACTGAAAGAGAAAATAAAAATTGAGAAATACATAATAAATAAAGTAGGTATATGTTTAATTAAATAAATAAACAAAATGTTATCGCCTCCCTCCAGTACACTATAAATAAATCGGTCTGAGTGAAAGAAAAAAAGGTAGGGAGTGAATTCATTGAGTGAAATTTGATTTCATTTTGATAATTTTGCACATTTTTGGTAATATTTGAACAAAAACTGATAGTTTCACTCATAAAATGCTTGTTGTTCTCATACTAATAGAGGAAAATGTCAGTCAAAAAGTTGTGGGCAGAAACTGATTCATTATTCAGTGAAAATAAGTGCAATTTTTTTACAGTGTATCTTGCCAAAGGTACTTGGGAGGTCCAAAATTCGTGTCCATACTTCCTGAGTTGTGTCTTGACTTAAAATTAAAAAAATCTAAAATATCAGGTGACCTGGCGGGCCAATGCTTAACCCGTCGTTAAGCAATATGGTTACTTTTTAAAAAACTGCCGCATTTTTTTGAGTGCAGTATGGTGGTATACCATCATGTGTCTCTAATATTCAAAAGTACATTCTATGAAATGTAGATACTGAAGACCATTGTTGCCTATAGTAGATTTTACAACATTTTCATCTTAATATTTTAAAAATTTTGATTTCCAACTAGTATTCCTGTTCCTTAGTGGTCCTTTGGTATTTTCATGAAGAATTTTATTATTTAACATTTTTTCCTTCAATTAAACCTGTCAAATTATCCGCATCCAAAAACTACTTGAAACAAAGTAGCATGCACGTTTTTCTTAGGGAACAGTTGATATTACCTTTGTGCAAATTTTGACATCTCTAAAATCCTCTTCAAAATGTCACCTTTAATAGCTTGTAAACGCAACTTTAATAAGAAAAACGTTATATGAACAGCCCCACTACTTCTCCAAAAGGAACTCCCACATTCTCAGTTTTCTTTTAAGTATAAATAAGTTACTCACTTGTATAACGTCCTAATCTCGGAAAGAAAATATTATTAGATCTTAAAAGATAGGTTATAGATAATAAACAAGTAGATTAAAGAGCTACTTGTTTGTTTAAGAGATTTACGACAGTTACCCAATTCCGATGTTGAAAATAATATCAGTTTTGAGACAGACATCATAAAATGATTAGACACAATGGCAAGAAAGATTATGAACTTAAGTGATTCCTCTGTAATAATTTTACATGAAATGCTTTTTCGTGCACAAACAAATTAACTAACAGAGTTAGAAAGTGTGTGCCGATATTGAAAATTGGTAGTTTTCTTTCTTTTAAATTATTTTTTTAACTTTTTTTACCGAGTAGAACCAATAGGCTATTATCGTTGACAATTTCTTCACGGAATTTATTTTTCATACAGGCAAATTGTGATAGTCATCTATGCAGAAATTCTGAGTTGTTAACCATTGGGCATAGTCCGTCTCTGACGTTATGGACATAATGAAATTTCACTTGCAACATCAAAACAAGCTGTACGCATGTGTTATCGATCGCCAAATTTGCATTATGCTGAAGTTAATAGTTTAGAGACTGTGAATAAAAATAACTTAATTTTCACTTTTGAGGGCCCGTAACTTGTTAACGAAGGCCTGTGTGAAAAAAGAATTTATAAAGAACTGATATTATTTGAACCTCATCTATATGTACTCGACTTTTTTTGTATCAAGTAACGGGACACCCTACATATTAATTATTATGGATAACAGTACATATAAGCTTACTTTGTCTAACTCTAAATTCCATTTTTTTTTTAATAAATGCCTTGGAATCACAAATCAACAAGTTTCATAACAGCAGATAATACGTCAAATGTAATAATCTTATCTGTTGTGACGTTCCATGACGAAATGTGTTGATAGGTATTAGGAACGTGTTTATTTAACGTATAATCAAAATAAATACAGAGTTGTAAACTTAAAAAAAATATTTTTAACAAAGTTAATTGTTGCACTCATAATCTCTACATAATTGTCCTATATAAGAACAATATTATCTTCGTCTTCAGACGATATGTAATAAATTTAATTCTTTAGGTGACATGGTGCCAAGAATCAGTTGGATTAAGTTTAGGTGATATATTTGTAACGTTCTGGAAGTAGTGTTAGAAATTAGGCCACGTTTAAAATAGTGTAGTAAGTATATAACGAGGCGATGTTCTGTTAATGCTACAATATTTTCCCACGATCCCCAATGTAAGAAAAAGAAAAACATTACTATAGTTATTTATGCAACAAGTGCAAAAAGTAAGTGTTTATTGCACGCGACGTGAATTTGTCCAACGAGGAGTGCAATAAACACTTTTTGCACGAGTTGCATACAATATTTTTTCTACGTTCATGAAAAAAAAAATGGTTTTCTACGTTCATGAAAAAAAATGTTTTATTTAGGTGTAGAAAAATAAAAAGCGTAATTTAAGAGCAAAATATTTAATAATTAAGTAACACTATTGGTTAACATTGAGAAAGTTAGGAACTAGTAATTAGGAATAATTTAACTTAAACATTATTTGTACCATTAATATTAAAAGTACAATTTTTGCAATTTTCAATATTCATATTTCTTAGTGAATTATTTTTTAATTCTACTTCTTGATTTGTGACTTCTCTAAATGTACTAGTACTTGTTATCTGTACATTGTCATTTTCTTCAGCCTGAAATATTTGTTTTGCAACATTGAGTTTGTTTGCAAGTGATTGCTCTACGTATCCTTCCGCTACTGTCGACGATTTCCATCCGCCGTGTCGTTTGAGCTCTAGTATATTTGTTCCAGTATCTGCAAGAAGTGTAGCGGATGATCTCCTGAAGCAGTGATCAGTGTATAGCTCAGAATTCTCCAAATTCAGAAATTTTGCAATTTGATACGGGATTTTAGCAAACGTGTTTACACCAATAGCTTGGACAGTGCCCTTTTCATTTCGGTAATTGATAAAATAACGTTTATGTGGAATATGACTGGGACGTAATTTCGTGTATTTACGGTATATATCGATCAAATTTAATCCTTCTTCAACCTCACCTCTAACGACAAAACTTCGTTCCTTGTCAGTTTTTGAACGTGGCACTTTTACAATTAATATTGAACCTACTTCTTCTATGTCTTCAATACTTAATTTTTGGAGCTCATCTCTACGACATGCCCCTGCGTTGCCAAATATTGCAGCGACCTACAACAAGTAATTTTAAAATGTCTTACAAAAGCTAAACAATAATTACTGACTTACTTTTTTCATCAAATACTGGGAATCCGGAGCTTCTTTTAGAAATTTATAAATGTGTCCTCTATTAAATACTTTTGACTTTTTTGACCGAAATCCTGCAGAGTTCTGCTTCATAAATGCCATTAGTTTTTTGTAATTTTTAATATTAATATCTTCTTTTGTAGAAAGGCAAGCTCTCACCATTGAGTACTCAGACCAAAGTGATGAGGGTTTAATATCTTTCGATCTTTTTGAAAAATATGCAAGAAGCACATTTTCTGTAAGATTTACAACTTTTTTATCGAAGCACCACTCTTTAAAACGATTATAACATTTTTCATATAGTTTTCTTGATTTGCTAGGTAATAAGTTTAATGACGCTGTATTTGCTATTTCACTAACTTCTGGTGGGGTCCCAACAAACTCTTCTTCATCACTATCATCTATTTTTCCAATAATATCACTCATTTTTAAACTTTGTTTAAATGTCAAAATTTATTTTTGACTGACATTTCTAGAACTGCAGAGTTGCATTATCCAAATCATAGTAGTCGTGATCGCGTATGTTTGAGGCATTTACGTTTGTGTTTATAAATTTTAATCATATGGCATTTTAGAAAAAAATGTATTTTCTAGTAATTTCGTAATCCAGTACATAATAAATATGATTGATAATAAAATAAAATCCGCAATTCTTTGAAACGTATTACAATCTCTCAGAAAAAGGAATAAATATTTCGCTCATTTGAATGTTTATGTTTGTCTTGATCACAAACCGCTGTACTATAATGACAGATGAGTGCAATAAATATTTATTGCACCAGTGCAATAAAGATCCACTTTTTCTAGTAAATATAGTTCAATAAAGTTGTGTTTATTGCATGAACGTAGAAAAAATATTTTATTTTTCTAAACACAAATTAATAACACTTTTTAATAAGGAGCTGTATTGGATGAGACAATGTACGTGTGTTTAAACTGTGGGATAACGATTGTTCTTGGACCAACTGCACAGTTTTTGCTTCACTTGGAATATGCGGTCCTGTTTTTCAAGTATCTGAAGTTGATGGTGCATTTATGGCATTCAAAATTTTGTTTGAAACCGTCTTATTTGTTATAGATTCCTCAATATAGACTTCTGCACAGGGGTCGATTTTCATCCTCCATGTCACTTAAGTCTCGTTATGTCACCATTTGCGTCCACAAGAATTGTACCTGAAAATCTCCGAAAGCAACGACCTGTAAATAATTCAGGATCTTGTAAATTTAAATGATTGGCTATTATTTTTAGTATATTCCCAAATTTATCCGTTGACTGCACGAAAAACAGTAAATACCTTAAAAACCAGAAGAGATAGGTATAGGGAACCATTATACCATTTGAGAACAAAATTGTTTCGCAAAAATATACAGGATGTTCCATTTAAAAAAATAAGTTAAGATGGTTTAAAGTTGACTAAAGTCGGCATTAAATTTCTACCATCCTGTGTGAAATTAAGCTTAGAAATTTAGTTATGTCCCTATAAATTTTATCGCTCTAACTTTATTATTGTAAGATTAGCGGCCCGTCCCGGTTTCGCACGGGTGGCCATTTATTTTAAACATTTTGGGATACAAAAAATATAGCCTATGTTAGTTACTCAGGGATAATGTAGCATTCTAATGGTGAAAGAATTATCGAAATCCGTCCAGTAGTTTTTGAGTTTATTCGTAACAAACATACATACGTACAAAAATACAATTCTTTCCTCTTTATAATATTAGTATACTCAGGGATAATGTAGCATTCCAATGGTGAAAGAATTATCGAAATCCGTCCAGTAGTTTTTGAGTTTATTCGTAACAAACATACATACATACAAAAATACAATCCTTTCCTCTTTATAATATTAGTATAGAAGTATAGATACACAACTTTTTGAATTAGGCAGTGTTTTTTAAATTTTTTTTGAGAAAAAATAAATACACTAGGCACAGAAATTAACGGATATTAAAAAAATTCCAAAATTTTGGGTGATTCTCAAAGAGCTGTAACTTGGAGGGAAATGGTCGTAGATAGAATAAAAAAAGAGGAAATTGAAGCTTCAAATGTCTAATTTTCAGATCTGCAGTTTAAAATTTTTTAGTGTCCGCAGTTTTTGAGTGATTTGAAGAAAATCAACGGAAATTTTTTTTATCAATTTTTGCTTTTTTATGGACTTCAATAAATGTTTTTGGTAATTTCATCATAAAGCTCTTTTAGATAATTTAATTCTCTTCAATTTGAGCGGTTCCGGAGCCTTGTACGATTATTTGTCGCTGAGTTATCGTCAATCAAAGCAAAAAAAAATCATTTTTGACTTTGGCAATCAATTACTCGGGAAATAATGACCGTACAGAAAATCCAAACAGGGTTTTGAAAACTGCAAAGTATTTTCTACAAGTCGGATATTTGAATAACTTGGCATAACTTTGCAAATAATGAATAAACTAAGAATATTGACTGTAACTTTTCAACCTCAAAGTGTCCTAAAGAAACCCTGATAATTTGAAAACCGTGATTTTTTTTCTTAGTGTCGTTTTTGCTGGAAATAAATGTAATAAGTAATTTTTCACTTTTTTTAATTTTTTTAAGTTAAAAATGTTTTTCCGCAATAATCTATATTTTCTTCATCAAAAAACGTTCATGATTATTTTTTAAAATTGAGTTAATTATTATTGTCTTTTTCATATTATTAAAATAATTCCAATGGTAAATGTCAATAATTCTAAATAATGCCTATTTTTATTTCGTTTTCCATAAATTCTAAGAAAAAGCATATTGCCTTGTAAAATGGAATTGATCTACACTTTTTTTAATGCACTCGCACAATATAAGATGATTATTTTTCTGAAATACAGTATATTCTATGGTTTTGTTATATTAACCACATTTATGATAACATTAATGCAATTTATTATTGTATAAAAAATGGCAGAAAAAGTTGTAGCCATTTCTATTTTGCCAGATATGACATTTGGACATAACGGGACAGCATAGATGTTCAAATGTTTATGGATTCGAAAAACTTCTTCCTCGCTTTATTTTTTCTGCAGATGTGTCAATTTTGTAATGCAATTAAAAAAGTATACGTATAGTGCCTTAATAAACAGAGCCTTTATAAATGATTATAAGTCACGTGACCAGTAATTTTGTTTGAACAGTAATTTTATTTCCTTCATATTGGCAAGTAAATTTCGGTAAAATTAAAAGTTCAAGATTACATTAAAACACAATAATCTCTTTCACAGGCTGGTGATTGGTGCAGTTCTCCACGAGATTTTATGCAGCCAATCAGCGATGGCCTATCTCGACGTGGCGGTTTGTCAATGTTCATTGTAAACGGATCATTAATATTGGTGACGAAGTCTCTGTATTAAAAAAAATGTATTAGGTAATAGAAAAAGAAGTTTGCCGAATAAATTCTTATAATGTTTTATATGTAAATTATATTCTAGAAATGTTAGAATTTATAAATATAATCATTACAGATGATTGTGAAAGTCAAGCAAAAGTTTAAAATAACTCTTATCGGTAATTATTTATATCCCAGTCTAATACCCGAATCTATAACATGACAACAAAGTTTTTTAATAGTAAATGTAAACCACTAATGACATTTTTTTTATCTACACTGCATTTGATTTTCCAACACCTTAGCAACAAAACGAAGGTGGGGGTGGGCAATCTTAGATGTGACATATATCAATTAAGTATTATATTGTGAGTATTCCATTGTTCCTTGATAATCTCAAGATTATCAAAGATTATTATTAGGAGGAAGGATTATTCCGGTTAGGGAATAAATATAGAGGACTCTCTTTAAAGACAGTGGTTAGAGATATAGCACACGTTCAACATGAAAGTGTACCTTTTGGTAGCCGCGTTGCTCCCTCTTGTCTTGTCTGGGCCAGGTACATATATCTTTTAATTATTTTACAACATGTTCTTTAAATTCTAAACAAGTTTTGCTTTTTTCTCCAAAAGTAACCAACGTATAGTATTGAAATTTGCTAGGCATTTGTATTGAGAGACTGTAAATGGTATGACCAGCTAAGTTTTTAGAGCAATCAGCTAATAACTGTAAAAACTAAGTAATCTGTTCACGAATTTATATTATTCAATTAGGACAGAAGGTATACTCAAGAAAAATTTGGTGCCTTGGCTTTAAAAATGGTCGGTTAACAACAAACGAAAAAGAAAATAGCAAAATATATACCATTTTGTAACGTAAAAAATTAATTAATTATTCCCTTGGTTATTTTTAAATAACTTAAAAGCTTTAATTGTTCATTGTATTAATTCCCACATAGTATTCACATTATTTGTTATTTTTTGTGTATATTGTTTAGATTTTACAGTTACATATATGATTAGCTAATATTATGAGTATTTTAGTTTAATTTAGTTGAGGTTCTTGTATTGGTGCTAAAATATACGATTAAAATGTCAAAATAGTAATAAACGTCAGCAGTTATTGGATAGAGGGGACTTCAATTTTCGATGAAGAATAAATTTATGCCTGAGAGAAAACGGTGATCATTCTGAAGAATTTGTGCAACGTATATTGTATGTTATTTCTGTTGTTTAAGTTGTTTGTTTTTCTATTAAATTATTCTTATTCCAAATTTTCTCCGGATCGTCTAATTTGACGATTAAATTCATAGCCAACTTTTGAATTTTCGATGATTTTAAATAACACAGCTACAATTCGTATTATTATTTATTCGTGTTCTTGTTGAAACCGACAAAGTTTTTTAAAACTAACAATAGTAAGAAAACTTTTAGAATTAAATTCTCCATAAAATAATAATAAGTAATAATTTTTAAAGTTCTTATCAACCCTTTAAAATGCTTCAATTGAACTCCATTTACTGTCGATTAGTGCTTTTGGTATACTCAAACCGTGTACTTCGTAAGCCTCAAAGATTTTGTAAAATTTATTTCACAGTAGGTATGGAAAAATGAACAGGAGTATATTTTTATACAGAATTGAAAAGTATTTAAATCAATAATACTTAGGGCTTAAAATTCCTAATTTTAATCAAAATTGGAACAAGGTATTCTTAGTTACACAGGGTGATTCACAAATCGTGACCGAAATCGTGCCTCGTGATTTATTTCTATTCTTTTGTTCATCAAATTCAATAAAAAAAATTATTAGTCCGTTGATATTTATTTTTTAGAGGTCGCTCGAAAACATAGGTACAGGGTGTTTCACTATATTTTGACCTCCTCTTTAACTTTTTTGTTTTGAGAGTTATAAAAAAATGTGCAATATAAAAGTTGCACGAGTTTTTATGAATTTTGCGAAAATGATAGTAGAAAAACAAATGAAGTCCAAACAAAATGGCCGCGGATGTTGACTTTGTTACGTTAAATGGAACTCCCTGTATATTTTTACATATTTTGATAGAACGTTTCCTGTCGCGCATAGTCATGTATGGTTTGTTGGGTCCATTATTAACAATAAGCGAGATACTATTAAAAAACGAAAAGAAGGTTTTTTATTAAGAAAATAAGACATCTTGTAATTGTTAAACCTTTTTCAGGCATTTCTGCCTTTTTCCAATTACGTAAGGATGTACAGATTTAGTTATAATATATTTTGACAGAAAAATTCATAAAAAATCGTGCAACCTTTATATTTCACACTTTTTTATAACTCTTAAAACACTACTTTGAAAGTTAAATTAATTATGATGACCTTTAGAAATTAAAATATCTATTTGAAATTTTCAGAATCGAGATTTTATTTCAACCTAGAAAATGATAAAATAACGAGAAAAAAATTTAAAAAAATCAATTTTTGACGATTTTGGAAATTTTTGAAAATCTTGAGCGACCTCTAAAAAAAATTTTTTTTTGAGCTGCTTTCTTGATGGGGCTCTTAAAACATGATAAACTAACATATTTTCACAAGGGTCACGAAAAAAAAATATTCGTTTTTTTTGGGCCACCCTAATGCGCAATGTATAAATATCCTGATTTATTTTTGTGTCTTGAAAATACTGTTGCAGCCTTTCAAGGTCAGTCCGAACAAGAAGATGACGGAGCAGACATGAAATATTTCCTATACGAGTCCAGTCCGGGAGTCTACAAAGTCGAAGACCTAGTTAACGCCGAAATAGACACCATGGTATCAGAAAGCGACGTCTACTACCATTTCTTCAGCCGCAGTGATCCCAACGGCGTTGATATCCGGAATACGAACATCGACGCTCTCAGAAATACCGGTTTCTCAGTTCAAAGAGACACCGTGTTCATTGTACACGGTTGGAGAGGTGACAACGACGCTTCATCAAACCGCAACATCAGGCAAGCCATTTTGTCCAAACATAACATCAACCTCTTCGTCGTGGACTGGGGTCCGATAGCATCCAGGAACTATATCACAGCCAAGAACTCAGTCGTCCGAGTGGGAAGGATCGTGGCAAGTTTCGTCCAAGCACTGCAGAGCAGGTTCTCGGTGCGTTTGTCCACAGTCTCCTTTGTTGGCTTCTCTCTTGGTGCCCATGTTTCTGGAGCGGCTGGTGCTGCTCTCAAAGCACAAATTAACCATATCGTGGGACTGGACCCTGCTGGTCCGTTGTTCTCTGTTAGGAACACTGACGAGCGCTTGGACCCGACTGATGCCAAATTCGTCCAGGTCATCCACACCAACGGAGGCCTCCTCGGCTTCAGGGATCCGGCTGGTCACTCCGACTACTACCCCAACGGAGGGTCTTCTCAGCCTGGGTGCGGCTTGGATATCGCGGGGACTTGCGCTCACAACAGAGCTTATCTATTTTACACCGAAAGCATCTTGGCCGACACCAATCGCTTCGTGTCGACGCGATGTTCTAGTCACAGAGACTACACCAGAGGTAATTGCAATGGCAACGCCAGATCCGTTTTGGGAGGTTATGCTGTTGATAAAAAGTAGGTAAAACCGCTCACTTTTTTATTTTATTATTCACGTATCCTTTTCTCTGTTGCAGAGCTAGCGGAGATTACTATTTGGACACCAACAACCGATCTCCATTCGCCAGAGGCTAAAATCTAATGTTTAATGTCTACCTGTGAATAGTTATGCTTAATATATTATTAAGAATACTCTAGATATGACATAATTATAAATATACTATTTTTTTTATATTAAAATGAGATTTATTACATCGGCTTATCAGCAAACATGAAATACTTCTTTATTATTGTGAATTTTTGTGAATCTGGTGAATTTTTTTAAGTCGTCTTTTTTCGAAATCTCTGACAAAAGTACTGAGACGAGAAAATTTTCAGCACTTTTCGCCTTGCTGATGGTAGAGAGTTGCAACAAATTTTTCATATATCAAATGCATATCGGCCAATTCATTTGCGACTGCACGATCATACCACAAATTAATAATCATTATTTACAAAAAAATTTGTTTGTTTAAATTTAATCTAATTTTAATAAAAAAATTATAATAAAAAATTAAATTAAATAAAAATTAATCCTTTAAATGGAAAAGAGAGGAAAGGAAAATTATTATTATTATTTTTTGTTTAAATTACTATCAAATTGATCAAAGTGGGATTAATTCAAGAACGATTTTCTCAGAAACCGTTAAAGATAACGATTTGAAACAAGAGTACCTTTTTAACGTAAAACAGTTCGGGAAAACGGAATTTGCTGTCCAATTTGTTAAAAAGTCAAAGATGAAAAAGTTACACACGCAAAGTACCAAGGGCCGCCCCGTACCCACCCCAATGGACCTTGTGGAAATAAATGGATTAGTCCATCAAATTGCTCATCAAAATTTAGCTGTGTATACCAAATTTCATTCATTTATCACAACGCGATTGAGAGATATTGCAAAAAAATGATTTCCATTCCTCCCTCTTCAATGGGTCCCTGTGCCCTTAGGAAGCATTTCCGGACCCATGTTCATATGAACTTTTTTACTTAGTTTTGATCATAGAATCGGCCTGTTCAGGGTTGGCAGCTAATTGTGAGATACCCTGTATAACTAATTATAACATGAATACTTACAGTAACCAAGAAAAACTAGATATGATTTAATTTATGGAGAGGACCGAAAGAACGCTAAAGCTGCTAGGTATTTATAACAACATTGTTTTTCGCAGAGACAACTTCCATCAGATAAAATTTTCGAAAAGTTAGCCAGGAATTTGGCGGCAGATGGAAGTTTTCAAAAGAAAAAAAGAGCTTTTAAACCCAGAAGGGCAAGAGATGAAGAACATTTGATAAAGAGTTAAATGGCCTCACCTAAATGATATTGACCACCTTAAAAACATAATTGTTTGTAGAAAGGGAGTGACAAACAGAGATATTCTGTGTTTGGAAGCAAATGGAGGTCATTTTGAACATTTGAAATAAGTATTGTTTTAAATTGTTATATTATTATCGTATTAAAAATAAAATATGTTACTTTAAAACCATAGTAACTTGTTTCTGCAGTTGGCTATCATTTTTCAGAATAAAGCTACGAAAAGTAGCTTTATTCTGAAAATTATCCTTTTTGAATGTTTTTCTAGCAATATTTCGACTTCCTTACATAGCTGAACGCAGAAAGGAAATATCTTCCAGAATTGATAGAAAAATGTATAGTGTGAAACTTAAACAAAAACAGTTTACCATAGCAATTTTGAGATATGTTATCATGGAGGCGATCTAATAATGTCATTTGATAGAGTTTGAGCAATTTAAAAATATATAGGGTTTGTTATAGCTATTTGTTAAAATAAAAGAGATATAGGGCCGCGAATACCAAACTGAATCACCCGGTATATGTCACGCTGAGAAATGTTTAGCTGATTTTCCCAAGTGACTTATATGACGTAACACACGAGTGCCATACAAAATTTTATCCAACACTTTTGTTTCATAGAATTTCGTTTCAATAATAAATAAAAGTAACTTAAAATTTCAAGTTGTCAATGCCAGAAAAAGTTATTCAACGAAATGAATGTATTTTTAAATATTACAAAGGATGCGAGTCTCAACCTAAATTGTGTCTGTAACCAAGGGCTTTCAGTAAACAAACAATATTTTTTGAGTTGAAATCACGTGTTGAAATCCTAAAACCAAGACTGAAAAAAATGGAAAATGTGGAAATTCCATCTGAAATTTTAGAAAAAGCTAATGCGGCTGCTGCAGACGTCAATCCGGAGAAATCAAAATCTATATACAACAAAGAACTGAAGGAATTTCAAGATTGGAAAACCAAAGAAGGGGCGAAAGGCGTAAATGAAGATGTCTTGCTGGCTTAGTTTTTCAATTTAAATGATAAATTAGCTCCATCCATGGACTAAATATTCCATGTTCAAGTCAACTTTGAAAATTTATAAGAACATTGAACATTTCTAAATTCGGAAGACTAGTGGCATTTCTAAAGTTTAAGCACAAACATTATCAACCAAAAAAATCCACGGTCTTAGAAAGAAAACAATTCGAAAAATTTTTACGTGAAGCCCTAGACGAAGATTATCTTATGAATAAAGTAGGTTCTACTGAATAGTTTAACTGAGTTATATTTATTAAATTTGTTATTTTTATGTGGCTTTGACATTAGGAGGTTTTGGCGCTTGCCGTTGCGAGGAATTGACCGATCTAAGCATAGACAATATAGAGGACAAAGGGCAGTATATCCACATCATGATTTCAAATACTAAAACGAACAAACCAAGACGCTTCGCTGTGTTAAATGAAGGATTGTGTGTTGTGTTTTTGAAGATAAGGCCTCAAAATGTGCAGCATAAAAGGTTCTTTTGAAATTTTCAAAAGGGAAAACGCACACGTCAATGTATTGGTATTAATAAGCTATCAAAAATCCCTAATGTTGTTGCGCGATTTTTGAGCTTCACAGATTCTAATTTATACAGGGCATGGCTTGCGTCGCGCATCTGCAACTCTCTTGGCCATTGCTGGAGCGGATATTACAATACTCAAACGCCACGATGGATGGAAGTCATCTACCGTAGCAGAAGGTTCTATAGAAGAGTCAATTTCTAGTAAAACTGATATTGCTAAAAATATACAAGGGGTGCAGAATCCTGAAGCGAACACAAGCAAAGGGGCAACCTGTTCTATTTTACCACAATCACAAAATGATTCCAATAATCCTTTGGCAACAAATTATGGCTTTACGATAAATATTAATGTTAATATTAATAAGTAGGTAGATTGTAAGTTTGTAGCATTCTGACTTATTACTGTTTCAAATTGGTTTTCTAATAAAAACTAGAAAAATTAACCAAACATTTGTCTTTTTATGATTTCTATAAGTCAGTAGTGGGTTAGTGACTTATAGGCCACACTATTCCTTTAAAGCCAAAGAAATTATAGTATCATTATATACACGCGTCATTAATAATGTACGCGGACGATACAACAATTAGCATCAGTGAATCAAATCTTTTGGACCTGGAAGTCAGAACTAATGAGGTTCTAGCGCAATTTCACAATTGGGTAAAACTAAACAAACTCATTCTTAATACAGGGAAAACAAATTACATAGTGTATTATAAACGTAAAGTTATATGTGATATAATCCTGTCATGTAACAATAAGATCCTCAATAAAACAGTCAGTACTAAGTTTCTAGGACTCTACATAGACCAACAGTTAAAGTGGACCGATTACATAGATCATGTTGTGAAAAAACTCAGCTCATTATATTATGCAATCAGAAATTTGAGAAATTTTGTTGATTGTTGATAAAAAATATCTGTTTAATGTGTATTACGCCCTGGCGTATCCTCATTTGAGATATCTTGTTGTTTATTGGGGCGTGGTCACCGATATTCATAGTCTTTGTAGCTCAAAAGCGACTAATCAGACTAATTATGAAATTACATCCTCTAGAATTATGCCGACCGCATTTTATCAGTGCCAAGTTATTATCACTACCATCGATAATGATCGATGAGGCAAGTATATTTGAAAAAAGTAACATCAACAAATTTACTCTCTCCACCGATGTTCACGACCGCTACACAAGAAACAGCAAAGATATTTACATAAATAGTATTAACTTGTCCTTGAGCAAAAAAGGTCCAATATATCTATGTAGCGATATTTATAATAAACTACCAAATGTAATAAAGGATATACGATGTGAAAATAAGTTTAAAAAAGAATTAAGGGCATATCTTATAGATAAATGTTTTTATGACATTGGAGACTATTTTAAAATGTAACTATGTGAGTTGTATGTATCTTTGAGAATACATTATTTTTAGTACTTACGTTATAACTATAGCATTTTAGATTATATGTTGTGACTTTGTTTTAGTTTTTGGTATTTGTAAGTCTAGGTTTTTACCGGGTAAATGTATAACCCTCTTCCTTTTATGTCCTTATTTGTAAGGTTTTTCTGATGAATAAATTATTATTATTATTATTATTATTATTATTATTATTATTATTATTATTATTATTATTATTATTATTATTATTATTATTATTATTATTATTATTATTATTATTATTATTATTATTATTATTATTATTATTATTATTATTATTATTATTATTATTATTATTATTATTATTATTATTATTATTATTATTATTATTATTATTATTATTATTATTATTATTATTATTATTATTATTATTATTATTATTATTATTATTATTATTATTATTATTATTATTATTATTATTATTATTATTATTATTATTATTATTATTATTATTATTATTATTATTATTATTATTATTATTATTATTATTATTATTATTATTATTATTATTATTATTATTATTATTATTATTATTATTATTATTATTATTATTATTATTATTATTATTATTATTATTATTATTATTATTATTATTATTATTATTATTATTATTATTATTATTATTATTATTACTATTACTATTACTATTACTATTACTATTACTATTACTATTACTATTACTATTACTATTACTATTACTATTACTATTACTATTACTATTACTATTATTATTATTATTATTATTATTACTATTACTATTACTATTACTATTACTATTACTATTACTATTATTATTATTATTATTAATTAATAAAATAATTTGACATACCTGATGTTACAGCTACTGTTAAAAATTTTATCCACCGACGTATAAACACATTTTAGCCTGTCTTGCCCAGTTTCTACGAACTAACACAAATATTATCTTGCTTCAACACAAATTAAAACGATATCCATCAATTATAATTGCTATGCACGTACGCCATTTTTGTCACTTGAAAAACTAATGTAAACACTGAAACATTAATACTAAAATCGGATTTCAGTATTCGGAATCGCTAGGAGCTACATAGAGATAGAGCGCATTGCGTATAGCGAACAACCCGAATGAGAGAATACAGTAGTTCAGTGATGTAAGGATTGTAAATACTACAAATTCAATAAATTTTTTCTCGAAAGTTATAAGGATTTTACAATTTTTTTTACGTTATTGACTCCATTTTTCATAACGCATCCATTCCAAAAGTTTTTTAGATAAGTTGTGAATCACACTGTATTTGGGGTTTTATTTTGAGATACTTTCAATTTTCTTTTTCTTCAAATGTAGTCAATTTTGCAACATCACATGTCAAATAAAGATTTAAAATAACTCTTATTGATAATTATGCATATCCCAGTCTAATATCCGAATTTATAAATTGACACAACAACGTTTATTAATAATAAAGGTAAGGTGGCGTTTTTTATTTACGTTACATTTGACTTACCAACACCTTAGCAACAACACGAAGGTGGGGGTGGACAATCTTAGACGTGACATACATCAATTATTAAATTGTGAAGATGCCATTGTTCCTTGCTAATCTCTAGATTATCGGTTAAGGAATAAATATAAAGGACGCGCTGTGAAGACAGTGGTCAGAGAGTTAGCACCCGTTCAACATGAAGGTGTCTCTGTTAGTAGCTGCGTTGTTCCCTCTTGTCTTGTCTGGGCCAGGTACATATACTTTTTAATTATTTAATAACGAATTCTTTGTATTTTAAACGGTTTTTATTGTCGGGCATATGATCTGTACTGATTTAGAACAAAGTTCACTAAATCCTAGAAAAAATTTATACAATTTTTTTATATAAACTATGTCTTCATCGTATTTCATTGTCAAAATTAAATTAATTTATTAATAAGTTCTGTTTTTTCTCCAAGTAATCAACGTATCGTACTGAAAATTGACAGGCTTTTGTTTTGAGAGGCTGAAAATAACATAACTAGGTTAGTTTTTAAATAAATTTCAATGGACGTTTGTTAAGTTGCAAATGTGGAAAATTTTAGATCCCAACTTTTTTTAAAGGATTTTGAACTTTTTCATTGTTGTTTTCATTTGTTAATGTAAAAAAATAATTCCATTTTCCAAAGCTTTAACTGTTCGTTGTATTGAGTTTTCCACATAGTATTCACTTCGTTATTTGTTATATTTTTGCAAATATTACTTAGATTTTGCAATTAGCTCATTAAATAGAAATCGTCAATGAATTGTTGTCCATAAAAACTGCTTTATTTTTCGTTATTGCGATTTTAATAATTATTTTTTGCAACGTATTATAGAATTTAATAATCCAACACCAAAAAGTAAGATTTTTTTTGCATGTAATTAGAAAGTAATCTTAAACAAACAAAATTCAGAAAGAAAATATTTTTAGTCTGTATTTAATAAAGCCCTGTATAGTCCAGTAACTGAAGCATTTTGGCTACCAATTTTTTCGGATGGAATGGATTGACGTGAAATTTGAACTGTAGCTAGGGAATAGCCCAAGATACAAAATTTATACAAGGTGATTCACAACTTATCCTACAAAATTTGGGAATAGATGCAGCATGAGAAATGGAATCAATATCGTAAAAAAATTTTTTGTAAAATCCTTATAGTTTCCGAGAAAAAAAAATGGAAGTTATAGTACATTCAACCACTGCATAGTTGGACAACTGTAGTCTCTAGCATCATTCGCCACGTGGCCTCAGCGACTCCGAATACTGAAATCGAATTTTGCAATCGTCGTTGCGATAGTATTCTGTGGTGTTAACAAAAGGTTTTTAGTAGTTAGTGTCAAAAATGGGTAGTTAGTGTTAAAATGGGTGCGATAAAATTCTATTTACATATTTCTTTCCTTGCGACAGTTTTTGTCCATTTTTATCACACCGCCATGCCGGTCGCATTGTACGAGGTCAGGTTTTACAGTGGACCAGTTGCCAGTGCCGTGCAGAAGTGTATTTTTAAATCATTTTCGGACTGCCCTTTTTGATTTTTTCTTTACAAAATTGTATTTGTAAGGGTCCCCTGTACATCCAGATTTTTTTTTGATAAGTTCTGAATCACCCTGTATAGTGCCGATGTGTGTTTTTACCTTAGGGGTGGATGCCACCCCTTCTGGAGGTTGGGAATATTTTTATTAAGAATAACCTCAAGATTCGATAGAGGGACGGATTGTAAGCAAAAAATGTTCTATAAGAATTTTTTGTACAGTCAATACTTTTTTAGTTATTTGCGCCTAAACATGTTCGTTTTAGCCCAAAAAATGTTTTTGAGCCATTTTTCGCGAATATCTCAAAAACTAAGTTTTATCAAAAAAATTATTACAAGCAAAAATGAAGGTAATTAAATAGCAAACAAATTGATTTTTTTATTTTTGTACATTGTATAGAACCCGAGTTATAACTCCCAGAAGTTGAAGTCAGTTTCGAAGACAGCTATAATCTAAACGTTCAACATCCTGTAGCGGAAAAATTAAAGGCTTTTCGAGGAAAACTTATATAACACCTATTACAGTTCTTGAAAAGACCTTTAAAATGAGTGGTGGTAGAAGTCGTTAGCATGAAAACTAATGATGTTACAATCAAAATAAAATGATTGTCTTGATTTTTGAGAAAAAAAAATCGGTATTAAAATTAAATGACGACGGAAAAAAAATAAACGTATTTCTTCTGTAATTTACTTTATTTTTGTATTAACAGTAGATTCTGGGAATTTGAACGATTTTAGAAGCCTAAATTAAAAAAAAAAATCATTTACTTTTGAATAAAATTTTTCAATTTTTTAAAAAATCGTCTTTTTTCAAAATATTTGAAAAAAAAACAAAGTTATTAAAAAAATGGTAGAATAAGAAATTGTAGGTTTTTTCTTACTGAACAATTTACTTTTTTTAAATTTTTGTATGATAAAATTTGACTGAGTTATGACTGTTAGAAGCTCAAAACTAAGCTTCAAGACTGCCTTTTCTGAGCCCTTTTAGTTTACAAATCTAAAAAACGAAGGGCCCAAAAAACTGCAAATGACAGAACTAAAGTGCTTTAAATTTCCTACAAAAATTTGAGTAAATTTATAACTTTAAAATTACAAAAGTTATGGTAAAAGAATGAATCGCATTTTTTCGGCAAAATTTGCGGTGCGGGTAAATTACTACTAAATCATCTTTGTGTATTTTGAAGCACTTGTGAACTAATTTGAGTAAGTATTTTAATAATATACATACACACACGTATCCATTTATAATGCATATAATATTTTTTTTTATTTGATATAATTTAAAAAATATACCTATATTAAGAATATATTCAATAAAATTTAAAAAAAAAAAATTATATCATCATACTCACATATAATTTCTAGGAAATTTTTCTATAAACCAATAAAAAGTTTATAATTCAACATATACATACCATTAAAACATTTCAAGATTTCAATAATATTTTATTTTATTATAAGGGATGGTTTTTAAGGGTTGCAACTTTGTAATGAGTCGTAAGCTTTCTAATGAATAACAAAAGAAATGCAATACATTGTGAATGCACCAAAAGAATATTTTAAACTGTTAACAACTTTTTGTTTCAATTCTTTTGGCCATCGAAGGTTAGTTTTTAAATATTTTTAAGGGTTGAAAAGTAATTAAATTTCATTAATTATATTAAAAAACATGAAAGGATCTTTATCCAACATATTTGAACATGAATTGAATCTTTAAAATACGTAAATCTGCGATTTTCGCATTTTTTTCGAACAAGTGTAGTTTTCACCCCCAAATAGAAAAAATCACACACCTAGACAATATACCTTTTGAAGTGGGGGGGGTCAGATGAGCTTGTATGCAAATATTCAGGAAAATTTATGCTATCTGAAAAAATTGGGAGCTTTTACTTTATTTTCGCCTTCAGTGACTGGACTAGTACAGCTTATTTAAAATGACCAAACCATATTATTTAGAACTTCTCAAAATCTAACATAAATGCCCTAATACTTATTTTACATTTTTTTAAAACACTGTATTTATATAAGTAGTGTATACGATATCCTGATTTATTTTTTGTTTGTCTTCCAAAAACCCTGCAGCCTTTCAAGGTCAGTCCGAACAAGATGATGGAGCAGACATGAAATATTTCTTGTACGAGTCCAGTCCGGGAGTCTACAAAGTGGAAGACCTGGTTAACGCCGAAATAGACACCATGGTATCACAAAGCGACGTCTACTACCATTTCTTCAGCCGCAGTAATCCCAACGGAGTTGATATCCGGAATACGAACATCGACGCTCTCAGAAATACCGGTTTCTCCGTACAAAGAGACACCATGTTCATCGTACATGGCTGGAATGGTGATAACGATGCATCACTGAACCGCCACGTCAGGCAAGCCATTTTGTCCAAGGAGAACATTAACGTCTTCGTCGTGGACTGGGGTCCGATAGCAAATAGGAACTACGTCTCTGCCAAGAACTCAGTGGTAGGAGTAGGAAGGGTCGTGGCAAGCTTCGTCCAAGCATTGCAGAGCAGGTTCTCGTTGCGCTTGTCCACAGTGTCCTTTGTTGGCTTTTCTCTTGGTGCCCACATCTCTGGAGCGGCTGGTGCTGCCCTGAACGGAGAAGTCGATCACATCGTTGGACTGGACCCTGCTGGTCCTCTATTCTCTGTCAGAAACACTAACGAGCGCTTGGACCCAACCGACGGTAGATTCGTCCAGGTTATCCACACCAATGGAGGCCTTCTCGGCTTCGGGAGTCCTTCTGGTCACTCCGACTACTACCCCAACGGGGGGTCTTCTCAGCCTGGGTGCGGTTTGGATATTGTCGGTAGCTGTGCTCATTCCAGAGCTTATTTATTTTATACCGAAAGCATCTTGGCCAACACTAACCGCTTCGTGTCGACGCGATGTTCTAGTCAGAGGGACTACACCAGGGGCAATTGCAATGGCAACGCCAGATCCGTTTTGGGAGGTTATACAGTAGATAAAAGGTAAGGAAATATACTCACTTTTTAATTTTAATAATCACATATTTGATTTTCTCTGTTGCAGGGCTAATGGAGACTTTTATTTGGTTACGAACAACCAATCTCCATTCGCCAGAGGTTGAAATCCAATGAAATCTAATCTATAACTTTACTTATGAATAGTTATGCTTAATATATTATTAAGAGTACCTACTAAACATGTGATTATAAATATATTTTTTAAATTTAAAATATTCTATTATTCTTTGGAATTTTGTGAATTTGGTGAATTGTTTACAGTCATTTCAGAAAGAGACAAGACATACCTAATATGCTGGATAAAGTTACAATAAGATTAAAAAGATTGTAATAAACCTTTTTAGTAGTGACGTCACATACGCCTGTTTAGATCGATGTACTTTGGACATAAATGCCGAAAAATGGCTTCTTTGTCATGATCTTAAATATCGCGATATTCTGGCAATATTAGAAATATTTAAGAAGTTTCAAACTCCAAGTGACAAACTAATAGAGTTATATCTAAATTTATCGAACAATATTGACTTTCATTCATGAAAGGTTTGGTTGTGAATAAGAGTACGTCTATAATAAACCACTTGAAGAAAAAACACTCGATAAACACAATAGCACAGTCATAGACCTTATAAACTACTGGACTCGCCCAACTGTCATTTCACCTATTAGACCAAGCAAATTAAATTTTTACTCGAAAAAAGTCCTATCCGCTAGATTATTGTAAAATTGTCTAAAGGAACATAATACAAGACATCTCTCGTCTCGTGAGTCAAAAACTTTTATTAGCTAACTTTTCTATTTAAACAAATAAGTGAGGAAAACAGTTTTTTCACTTTGCAGGGAAAACCATCAATTTTAGCGAAAAGTGACTCTCAGACAGCTTATAGGGAGTAAAATTATCTACAAAATGAGACTGGTTAAATTAAAATCGGTTAATAAACAAAAAAGTTATTGCAAAAA